TTTTTATCAACAGATGATCCCAAAATTGGAAATCGCAAAGGATGTCCCCCTAGGTAGTTTACAAGAAGTGGATCCCAAACTTCAAACTCGCAAGGGGGTGTTCCCCTAAGATTCTTCCAGAATTCCGATTCGTAAGGGGTGTCCCCCTAAGTTTTTATCAACAGATGATCTCAAAATTGGAAATCGCAAGGGATGTCCCTCTAGGTTGTTTACAAGAAGTGGATCCCAAACTTCAAACTCGCAAGGGGGTGTTCCCCCTAAGTTGTTTTACGAAGATGTGCAAAATCGCAGCGGGTGTCCCCCTAAGTTTTTCTATGCAAATATGACTCTTAAAATTGGAAATCAAAAAGGGTGTCTCCCTAAGTTTTTTATCAACATATGATCCCCAAATTCAGAATCGCAAGGGGTGTCCCCCCTACGTTTTTTCACAAGAAATCGCAAGGGGTGTCCCCCCTAAGCTTTCATAAGCACAAGATTCCAGAATTCCAAATGGCAAGGGGTGTCCCCCTAAGTTTTGTTTTACGAAGATGTGATCCCAAAAATCAAAATCGCAAGGGGTGTCCCCCTAAGTTTTTCTATGAACATATGATGTCCTCCTGTGTTTTTTATCAACATATGAGCCACGGCCTCTGTGTTCCTCGTCAGCTTCGCGACATTCGCCGAGCAGCAGACTAGGAAGGGCAACCGACAGCCGACCTCGACGGACCCGAAACCCTAACAATCAGAACAGAGGTTGGATTTTGGAGGTATGTTAAAAAGTAGAACTCGTAGCAATCATTGTAGAGGTTTGACTGTGGAGGTATAAGAAGGAGTACATAGCTATGTAGGGATTGTTCTGAGGCTTCTTTACCAAACCTAATGTCGGTCACGTCCTCTCAGAGCATCTTCTACCGGGGCCTTCATAATACTGGGTATTGAGGGTACCAAACACTTACTAAACCCTAAATCCAAAACCCCCAGGACCGGATCTTCAATGGGTCCACAAACGCGGCCACGACAGCGACAGCGCCACCACCACCACCGCCGCCGCCACCACCACCCGCAAGAACAAAAACATGAACAAAAACACAAGACCACCAACATGGACAACGGTAACACATTATGAATAACACCCACACTGACGTCGACAACGACGACGAATACGCTAACGTGTTGGAAGTCGGAATTAGGATAAGACCTCGACAGCTGCGGGCGATGCTGTTGCTGAGTGGTACCTAATCATGCGAGCGTGGGTCATCAGACTTTAGAAACACACAACCCTCTTCTTCATCATCATTGATTTCATCATCATCATCATCATCATCATCAACACCATCATCATCACCATCACCATCATCAGCATCACCATCATCATTATCATTATCATCATCACGGTTGTTATCGTATTTCGTGTCGGCATCATCGTCACGTCCTCCTCACTTTCATCGCCGTGTTCATAAAAATAGCTCATCATAATAGTATCGCTGCTGTTGCCGCGATCATCACAAAACTCTTGCTGCTGCTAGTGCTGCTACAATTGCGATGACGATGTGACGACGCAAACTCTCGGGGTGCCTCACAGTCAACTGGGAGTTTCGGTTCAAAGCCCATGAGTTTGGGAAGGGCTTCATGTAGGGGCCTTAATAATCAGAATAGGGTTCTGGGGTATAGTATACTAGATCCATAATAAGGAACCTCCAAAATAGTATTGGTAACTATTTAGGCCCCTATTTTAGGGGTTTAAGTTTTAAGGGTTCGTGGGATTATGGGACTTCGGGTTTGGGACCTTGGTTGGGCCCTCAACCTGAACCCTCAATCCTAAATCCTCAACCCTAAACCTACAACCCTAAACCCGAAACCCTAAACCCTAAACACCTAAACCCTAAGCCCTAAACCCATTTCCAGCTTCTGCCGTCCTCCCGGGCTCTCTGCTCGGAAGTTTAATGTAGGGGCCTTAACAATTAGAATTGGGTTCCTGTAAGGGTTCCTGTAAAGGGTGCCATAAGGCTATAAGGGTTTAGGGTTTAACGGTTTAGGGGCCTTACCAATTAGAGTTGGGTTCCTGTGAGGGTTCCTTTATACCACAATTATACTACGGAACCCCCCAAATAGTATTGGTAGTTAGGCTCCCACATTATACAGTTGGTGTAGAGGTAGAAAGAGTTTTGGGGGTGATCGCAGGCCTGTGGGTTCAAGCCATGCAAGCTGTAAATGAGGGCTACTGAAAATTTCGAGTAGCTTCTTGGCTCTTCTCCTAAACCCTAAACCCTAAACCCTAAATCGCAAACCCTGAACCCTAAATCCTAAATCCTAAACTCATTCTCTTCATACGGCTAGCGACAGGGAGTGCTAACTCAGAACGTCCCCCCTCGGCTTCTCGGAATCACAGCATCTTCGGGCCCGCCTTCGGCTGCTCTCGTATTCTCTGAGCCTTGTGGCAGCTCCAGGAAGCTTAGGGTTTAGGGTCTAGCGGGTTTTAGGGTTGGGGGCGTAGGGGTTTGGGTTTAGGTTTTAGGGGTGTAGGGCTTTGGGGTTTAAGGTTTCCGACTTGGGGTTTACGGCTCCAGGGCTTGGGCTTTGCTGTAAGCTTTGGGGTTCTGCGCTTTGGGGTGTCTTGACCTTGGAGGCATCAAGGTTCGGGGTCGAGCTTGGAGACAGCCAGCACCTAGAAGTAGGTGCCTGTAAGCAGAAGTAGGAACCTTTCTGTCTATGTGAGATGGAACCGACCTATCTGTTCCCCTATCTATCGATCCATCTATCTTCCGTCTATCTGTCCATCAATCCATCCAACCATCTATCTCTCTATATGTCGATCGATCTATCGATCTGTATGCCATGTTCATGAGAACTTAAACATGCACTTGTCGAGCCACACACGCAGCATGCGTGTGCATATGGGTATTCGTGTATATATATATATATACATACATAGATATACAGTATGTATTATCTATTATATATTATATGTGATCTATTATATATTGTAGGTTATAATTATATTATATATTAGATGTTCTATGTTATATTATATATATATATACATTCAAATATATGTATATATATATATATAATAATAATAATAATAATAATATAATATAATATATTATAATATATATATATATAATATATATATATATATAATATATATATATATATATATATATACGCACAGATGTAAGGACTCGTATCCAGACATGTAGGGTAATGTACGGTGAATACCTGCAAACAGTCGAAAGTAAACACAGTGTGTTGTGTCACAACGACAAAGGCTAACTACGTATTATGTCAGTCAGTCTGTCTGTCAGTCCGTCAGTCAGTCTGCCTGCCTGCCGGCCTGCCTGCCTGCTTGTCTGTCAGCATGCATGTGTGTATGTATGTACATATGCAATGTTGTACACACACACATGCATCTGAGATTCTGAGACCTATCTTTGCAGGCATATCTACACATCCTTTTGAGGGGGCGCTTAGACTAACAATCCTAAAGACTAGGGTTCTCCACCCGTGTCTCTTATCTTCTCAAACTAATATCATTCTGCCAGCAGCAGTGACGATGACGCTTGCGATGAAGGGGAAGACTCTTTTTCCATCGTTTTTCCTCTCCTATACCCTCTTTGTCCCAATACTGAGCCAAATGCCCAATGACGGGAAAGGCCGGTCATCAAATGGAAGGCGTGTTCAAACTTCGCCACCCCATCTCACGTTTTCAAAATTGGAGAGCAGAGCTTCTGGCGGCTTGAGCTCGTGTGCACAGTAGATGCCTTGAAACCGAAACTGCGAAACTAACATAGGGGCCTTAATGATTAGAATAGCATTTCGGGGTCCAGTATACTATATCTCTAATAAGGAACCCCCCCGAAATAGTAGAGGCAGTTATTTAGGCCCCTATATTACCTTCAACCCTCAGGAAACCGCATCCTCTACCACCAGGCCTCAAAGCCTTGCCCGTCGCGGCAACTTCACTCCATCCTGGATGCCTTGCATGGTAACACCAACGAAGTCGAAATTGTGCAGGTAACTCACCTGCGGCATGATGGCGGCGGCTTGCGAGTTCAGCTTGTCATTCTCTATCAAAGCGACGTACGCATCTGCCACCTCTTCGGGCAGTAGCTGGTCCTTCAAGAGAGGGTGGTTGGCATCTTGCTCCTCGAACTTCTTTGCAAAGAAAGTGCCGACCGCTGGGGTCTGCGTCATGGCGGGACACACGCAGTTCACACGCACGCCGTGCGACTTCTTGAGGGGACGGCATGAAATCGAATAGCCCACCACTGCCCACTTGGAAGCTGCATAAGCTTGCCTCAGCTATTTTTAACATCACACTGGGTCGTAAGGGAACATTACGGGGTTACTACAGGGGTCTCATAGAATTTCTGTAAGGGTTGCGGAGAGCGTCTTGGGTTTAGGGATGTTCAGGGTAGAAGTCAGGGACTCCAAGCGAAGTGGCGTCTCCGGCAGCGGCAGAAGTCCCCCCATGCTGGCAGTGTTGATGACGACGCCTTTCTTGCCGGCTGAACGAATCGCTTCGGCAGCCATCTGAGTCCCCTTCATGACGGCCATCATGTTCCTCGCTTTGCACGGAGGGCCCCTTATTGCAAATTCGTAAGCTTGCAGTGCCCCTTATAGAACCTGTGAACTGACGACAGAGAACAGGTCAAAACTCGAGTCACAGCGCCGTTCTCCTAGAACTAACTAATTACAGCAACAACTTCACAACTTCAGCTTCGGGAAGCATCTTCTTTCATCTGTCCTCGAGGTATACGGTATACAGACGTCTTCAGTTCTGAACCTCGCAACCCTTCCCGTTGATTGGCCCAAGCGCCGAGCAAGCGGACCAGGGGTTTCGGATCTGGGGGAGATCTTGGAAATGCACGAAATCTTCGTCTGAATGAATATAGCAGGTGTAGGGGTTGAGAGTTTTGAGACGAGGGCACGCAAAGCACAGAACAGGAACTACACTTTGGTTCTGCTGGGTCCTCGAACACAGCTCTCGGTCCTTCGGAAAGGGGAGGCCAGCGATATCTCTTAGGCTCTATCAGAAAGGCTTGGTGATGAGAATGAAAGGGTAAGACAGCCAGCAGCGCAAAGTAGGTTCTGTACTCCCGCAGTAGGTACTTGGAGGATCATGGGACTTAGTAAGTAGGGATATAAGTAAGGTAGCTATGGTTATATCTACTTGTATCCCCATTTAGGGCACGTATAACTTAAAACCCTACTTATTAAGTCCCCTGATCCTCTAAGTACTGTTTCTAGACTTGCAGTCTGGCGGGAAACATGGTTGAGGCAGGGCTCACGTCCATCATGGACTTGATCTTGGCGTCCCCAGCATCATCGTTGACCACAATTCCTCACGCTCGCGGGCCCAGACATCCCACAAATTTGGGATCCTACTTGGAGGATCATGGGACTTAGTAAGTAGGGATAGAAGTAAGGTAACTATGGTTACATCTACTTATAACCCTAACTTGGGTGCTTACAGACCTACTTACGAAGTCGCCTGATCCTCTAAGTACGGAATCCTACGTGCAGGAGAAGCACGTCACCGACCCCACACGCCGCGCGAAGAATCAGGAGAGGCCCTGAACAACACCCCGATACAGCCCTTGTATTGGGGGCTCAGGGTTTAGGAGTTGGGGGGTTTAGGGTTTAGGGTTTAAGGGTTTTAGGGTTTAGGGGGCTCTGAAACCATATTAAAAAGCTGATGAGAGCTCTATAAAGCGTTTCTACATAGAAACCGCATGAGCCATAGAAAGCGTTCATAATTGCATCAAAACCGTATAGGCCCTAAACCTTAAGCCTTTAAGCCCTAAACCCTTTAAGCAAGGAACCCTGGAACCCTTAAAGGAACCCCAAAACCCCAAACCCTTAAAAAGGAACCCGTAAAGGAACCTATAATAAGTACTTAGGACTCTTTGGGAAGAACCCTAAACCCTATAAACCATGCCTGCGTTGTTGACCACGATGGTTGCACAGCACCCGAAAGCCTCCTCCGCGGTTTCAGTGAAAGGAGACGGCAGCCAAGGGTATCGGGTTCCTTTAAGGGCTCTTTAAGGGTCCCTTTTAAGAGTTGAAGGTGAAAATAAGGGTTTAAGATTTAGCTTTGAGGGCTCTCTAACGGTTCCTTTAAGCGTTAAGGGTTTATAAGGGATTAAGATTTAGGCGTTCTCTAAGCTTTTGCAGCTAGCTGGTGAAAGTTGGCGTGGCTCTAATTAGCAAGGAAGCCCATGATTTCAGGCTTTTGGTTTCAAAGTACATGGAATTCGGTGCCTCTTCAGCAAGACCACTGCAAAAAAGTCCATAACTCTCCAACTGAAGGGCTATTCCCTAAACCCCAGGTTCTACAAGTCTCTAGAGCATTCCGGGGCACAGGGCCCTTAATTTAGGGCGCTATAGTGCGCCTCACTTTCCGCCAACCTACGGAGACTTGAACCCGGTCGAAGTCCTGTGCCGGCCCATGGGGTTTGACAGCTTTTTTATATTACCCACGTGAGCTGCTTTTCGAACCCATGCCGGGTTTAGGGTTTAGGGTTTAGGGGTTTGGGGTTTAGGGTTTAGGGGTTTAGGGTTTAGGGCCCAATGCCCTCTTGGAATGTTCAACCCTCCGTGTGTCCTGCGGCTTCTCCACTAGACTGCGATGCAGGCTGGCCGTGTCTGTCACGTCTACCCGGTCATACCTCAGCTCGAGACAGGCCCAGAGAGCCCCAGAACACTGAATTGAGGAATATACCTCATTTAGGGTTTAGGGTTTAGGGTTTAGGGTTTAGGAGGCTTATGGCTTATTATCCAGAGTGCCCAGTACTCTTCAATTATAAGGAATATACCTTAATGACAGGAGGCTTCTTTTGTCGGCCTAAGGTATCTTCCTCAGTGAAGGGGTATTGGGTTCTCGTGGACGCTGCACAGAGGCTTGAGGCCTTTCACGCTCCCTACTGTATGCAGCGGGCCTCCTTCCCTGAACTAGGCTCAACCCCAAACCCCAAGGCCAAAACCCTAATGTAGGGGCCTTGTGAATCATTAGAATAGGGTTTTGGGGTACGGTAATCTCGGATTCAGGGCTTACGTTACTTCCGTTCAGGGCTCACGATTAAGGGCCTCAAGTGTTCAAACCTCGGTACACCGCTGTGCCAGCTCCCAATCGGCAAAGGTCCGCGGCCAAGGACTCTCCTTTGCTCCTTAGTTTCCGGCTTCATAGATAGGCCCAAACAAGCGAATAGGAACTTCAATTCGAAGGGTGTTTACTGGGTTTAGGGTTTAGGGTTTGTTATGTTCTGGCCAGAAGTTTGAAGTTTGCCAATTCAGCTACCAAGGGGTCGCATCCAAAAGATCTGCCATCACCTCAGCTCCAGAAAGGCTTGGTGTCTTCGGGTTTAAGGGTTTCAGCGAAGGCTGAAGACGTTCGACAGTTGGCTGTGTACTTGCGGGCGCAGGGGACTTAGTAGGTAGGGTTGAGAGCAAGGTATCGTGAATAAATCAAGTATATCTGCTCCTAACCCGACTTACGGTACTTACAACCCTACGTAATACCTTCGCACGACAAGCAAGTTCAAGCCGGAGGGGGCGTGGCGGTGACGGTAGCATTGATTAGGCCCCCTAGACCCTAAACCCTAAATTCCTACAGACGATGAGTCGCCTCAGAACTGGGTTTAGGTCTTGGGGTTTAGCTCGGGTTAAGAGTAAGCGGTTAAAGGTAAACCTGTAATGTAGGGGCCTTAATACTGTTGGAACACCCCCCCCCCCCCACAATAGTATGGGTAAGAACTTAGGCTAGTACCTAGACCCCGCAACTACCCTCTATCATACCCCACTATTAAGCAGCAAGAGGTCTCTATAAGAGGTTCCTTGGGGGGTGCCGGTATATTAGCAGAGTTTAGGCCTTAGGTTTCAAGGCTTCATGTTACCCCAAACCCGAGACCCTGAACTCCTTGATGCCCTTTAGACCCTCAACCACCTAATGTAGGGGCCTTAAGGAAAAGAATATGGTAAAGGGTTCCTATAAGGGCTACTATAAGGGTTTAGGGTGTAGGGGCCTTCATAATGAGAATAGGGTTTTGGGGCCCATTCTACTATCATTATGATAAGGAGCCCTTAAAATAATATAGGTAATTATTTAAGCCCCTATATTACCCTAAACTAAGCCCTAAACCCTAAACCCTCAAAATAATATAGGTAAATAAGGCCCAAAAAGCCCATGGCCTGCCCTCCCCACAAGAAGCTACTGGCCTTCAAAACGCTAACCCCGACACAGACAGCCAAAGCGCGGCAGAGCCACGGTTTAGGGTTTAGGGCAAAGCGCCTGAACCCGTAAAAAACCAGCCTAAACCCCAAAGCCCTAAAACCTGATGCCTAAGATCAAGTCGGCCCCGTCGCGACATTGGCGCCTTTCGCAACCAACTCCCGCGCCACTGCCAGCCCGATGCCCTGTTAGGGTTTGGGGTTTGGGTGTTTAACTGACTGCTCTTCTTTGGGCCTAAGGGGCTTAAGTGATTTAGAGCCCAGCCAAGGTTTCGACCCAAACATTGCATTGAAATTCCACGTTTGAGGTTCCCGGTCTGGGGGTGAGGATTTCACTTCGTACCCCTAACTCCCCCTGAAAGCTGCCCGCAGCCTGCGCCGCACCGGAGATCCATGCAGTGCTTCCCTGAATGGCCGGCATCTCTTTAAAACCTCGCTGTTAAGCCAGACACCTCCCCAAAACCCCGAAGCCATAAAGCTTCAGCACATGTTAAGGCGAGCGCACCATGAACTCTACACATCGCTGCTCTGCATCCAGAACCCAAGCCCTAGAATTCTTGCAGATTTTGCCTGACGAGCCATGTGGCAGTGGTCTGGCCGGGAAACGTTCGCAACACTACACTCGGGAATCTCGGCACTCCTCTATCCAGCTCCTAAGAAGCATCTAATAAGATACAACCAAAGATCAAGGATCGATCTGATATCTTAACTAATAAAATCGGCTTAGAGTTTAGGTTTAGGGTTTAGGGTGCCCTAAACCCTGAACTGAGTGCTCTCAATGGGCTGCCTGAGCACCAACCCCTTTGTGGGTAAACTCACTCGCTCTCGAAATCCTCTACGCTCACGCCGGAAGCCCACATGAACCCCTAAACCCTGTGTACGGAACATCGCCTCAAGCGCTCAACCTGTGAACCCCAAACCCTACAAAATAGTAGGTTATATGACCCCTTCATTCAAAGGTAGAGCTCTTTAAACGGTAGGCTTTTGGATCCCCAGCAAAGCCTTCCGGGCTTAGGGGCTCAAAGTTTGGAACCTGTGGCTGAGGATCAAAACTTGGTGCAGATGGCAGCTTCTAGGGTAGAAACCCTAAACCCTAAGCCCTAAGCCCTAAACCCTAAACCCCTAAACCCTAAACCCTAAACCCTAAACCCTAAACCCCAGCAGCGTTTAGGGTAGCAACAGAAAGACAAAGGCCTAGAATCCCCCAGCTCCCAACTGACTCTGCTCCAAAATGTCAGGCCGTTAGATACGGTGTAGGGTTTAGGGGTTTAGGGTTCGAGGGCCAGTTTAGGGGTTTAGGGTTCAAGGGCCAGTTTAGGGGTTTAGGGTTTGAGGGCGAACTTAGGGTTTAGGGGTTTAGGGGTTTGAGGGCCAGTTTAGAGAATCAAGTTCTGAAGCAACTGGCCTCAAGTCCTACTTACGCCACAAACCCGTTAAGCATGGAGGGTTTAGTTACAAAACCCGTTTCTGAAAAACACCCGAAATGATCACCAACCTCAAACAAGCTGGTCAGGAGTCTGTTCAGGTGCGCTAAACCCGAAACCCTAAACCCTAACCACACCAACAAGCCTAGACTCGAAATCTAAAAGCCGAGTTTGGGGCCTTCGGGTTTTGCCAACCCTTTTCTCTCCCAAACTTATTTCGGCGATGTGGGTTTAAGAGTTTAGGGGTACTGGGCTTGCAGCTTTCCTTCAATACAGATTCTTTGTAGCAAGTTGAGGCGAGCCTCCTGACAGCTCGACCCTAAATCCACAATAGTGGATACTAAGACTTAGAACCGAGTCTTGGGGGAGGGAATATTGACACAGTTATAGGGGGTATAGGGGCGATACTGTTCCTATTAAGGCAGACCTCTTGTCTTGCACCCCAAGCTCTCGACCCACTGATCCTGAGAGGCCCGCGGCGGATTCTCCGTCCAGATTGGGCATCCGAACCTGCATGTTTCAGGGTTTAATCCTTCATGACATATTAAGGGTTCAGGGTTTCGGGATTTGGGTGTAAAGTTCGGGGTGCAGGGTACAAGGCATAAGCTTTGTGGGACGCGGGTAGATGCTGGCTGAGGCGTGGAGACATGAGCATTCCAATAGGCCTAGTCGGCTGCACGCTGGATTTGCAGCTGATGATATCTGGTGCTTTCCAGTTTAGGAAGGCCTTAGGCAAGAAAGCCGTGAACCTCAGACAAACAGCCTGATGGCAGGGGCCTCAATCTTATGATTAGGGTCTTTTCCTTAACTACGGAGAAATTGGGATCTCTGAGCAGCCTGAACATTAATCCTTGGCTCCGGAAGTCTCGACCCCATGTCGGGGTACCCTAAACCCTAAACCCTAAACCCTAAACCCTAAACCCTACGAACTGCAACTTCCGGCCTGAAACTTGAGACTAAAGGCTTAGACCCGGAAAGCCTGAACCCCAGAGCCCCTGAAGCAGAACCCTCACACCCCCAGATGCCCTAAACCCTAAACCTCAAAACCCTAAACCCTAAACCCTAAACCCTAAACCCCTAAACCCCTAAACCCCTAAACCCTAAACCTCAAACCCTATATAAATCCAGTGAGCCCTAAACCCGGAATCCTAAACTTTGAAAGCTTGGGCGTCGGACCGCAGTTGTTGCCTGGGGCAGAAACCCGAAAATGAAGCCAACTGAGGTTGGCTGGGACCCTTCGAACCAGAACCCTGCAACCCTTCAAGTATGAACCACGATACAAGAACAACTCGGTAAGCCTTGTAGTTTCCTCTCCAGAAACCATTATAACTCTAGTTGCTGAATTCATAATAAGCCCACCCCAAAGTGTAAAACATGAGTTTTGAAAGGGATAATATTCCAAAAGTGTAGAGCACCCATTCAGCTACTAAGCAATACAAAACAGTAAGCCCTGAACCCTGAACCCTGAACCAAAACCCTGAACTGCCGAGAGCGCCGCTGCTCCTTTGCATGGGTGTTCGAGGCGCCGGCCGAGGCCCCCGACCGAGCATCTCGTTAGAACGCTGACCCAGACCCCCAATAGGATCTAAAAAATAGATCCCCTAATTAGGGACCCTAACTACTAAAGGTACTTTATAGGAACCCCCTTAGGGGATCTATTTTTTAGATCCTTTTGGGGGTCTGGGAAAGTAACTGTGGTTATATCTATTTATAACCCCCAATTAGGGTACTTATAACCCTACTTACTAAGTTTCGTGATGAGGAACATGGGACTTGGTAAGCGAGGCTCTCTGCGTACTAAGGCCCCTGGGTCTCGAAGTAGGATTGGGCTTGGGGGGGGATCTAATTCCCGAGTTGTAGTCCGGAGGCCTCAGGAAAATGATTGGTACCCAGACCCCCAACAGGATCTGAAAAATAGATCCCCTAAGGGGGTTCCTTTAAAAGTACCCTTTAGTAGTTAGGGTCCCTAATTAGGGGATCTATTTTTTAGATCCTTTTGGGGGTCTGGGTAGTGGTAGTGGTTCCGACCCCTCGTGCTCTTGTAATCTTTGGGGCCTAGACTTGTCCAGGGACAGGGTTTTTTTTCCTAGGGAGTTTCCGAAAACAAAGGGTACCTTATTTGGGGGGCTTATAATCAGGATCCTACTATTTAGGGTGCTAGATTAGGGTCCCCGCTTTTCGGAAACTCCCCATATGGGGCATCAGGCTCTGGGTTGCTTTGAGGATATTTTCAGGTTCGGAGCTCAGAGAGTTACCCATAGGCCCCATAGTAGTTCCTTTTAGGGGATTCCCGAATAGGATCCTAAATGTAAGCCACAAAAAGGAACTACTATGGGGCCTGTGGGTAGGGGGTTTAAGAGCTCCAGAGGTTTTGAAACGATGGTAATATAGAAGCCTACACATAATCCTAAGCCTTATGTTCCCGATTATGATTATACTATAAAGGGGCCCAAAACCCTGTTCAAATTATTAGGGCCCCTACATTAGTGTAAGTCGAAGCGCTTCGCGAAGCATAGTGATTTCGACAGCAAGACGTGTGCCGGTGTCGAGAGCGGGGTGTTTGTGAGTTGGTAGTACCTGAAACGTTGCGTTTCCTGTGGGAACTTGTTGAGGGACTCCCTGAAGCCGTAGGCTCTAGGCCTTCAACGAGTGTCCTAAAGAAGGGGAACTCCCAACATAAATTCTTCAATGAGTAGAACTCGCATGTAAGGTCGTGGGATCTAGAAGCTAGGAGTCAGGTCTACAGCTCGGCGATCTTCGTGGCGGCGGCCGGCTCCTTAGTGCAGCTCGTTTGTAGGAGCAGTGCTGCGGTAAGTCTTTAACTGTACGGCTAACCCAAACAGTCCAATGTGCCATGAACAAGGAGTTGCCGCTTAACTTATTGTTGAGGGACCCTGAGCATCATGTGCTCATGTTTGGTACCGGTTTGTACAGCATGGAATATAGAAGAATAAGTATCCCTTAGCTTAAAGCTGGGTTCTTATGTGATGCCTCTTGCTTTTAGCAGTTCAGCGGTCTTGGGCCCCGTGGGGATGGCCTAGGATTTGGGGGAAGGGGAGAGCCTTCGTTTTTCGTGCTAAATCTGATTCGCTCCTGCTACTTGTGGGTATGGTATATACATACATATATGTGTGTGTGTATATATATATATATACATATATACATACACACCTTTCCGCAGCTACTTGGACCCCTGCCCCACACCCTTCACAGTAAACCCTAGACGCTAAACCCTAGGCCGTTTCAGGCTTGACGTTACGGTAATGATGGCTGCCTTGAGGAGCCTAGTCTTCCCGGGGTGATGAGAGAGCCAGTTGTAAGGTCTTGCGGGTTCTGGTTTTGGGGTTTAGGGTAACATATCTGTAGCAGCAGCAACAACTTCAACAAAAAATCACGAGTCGTACTAACATAACATTCGCAAGCGTATAAGAAAAAACGACATGAGAATTGTTACTATAAGCAGCTAGACCGGTAGGAAGGCTGCCCTGAGACTCAGGATGCTGCTGATTGGGCCTCGGCGCTGGGGCTTTTCGCGCGTGCCGAGGTGGCTCTCGGGTTTTTGGGGTCAAAACCCCTCAACCCGAAACCCCTAGACCCTGAACCCTAAACCCTAAACCCCAAACCTTGAGCTCCAAAGCCCTAAACAAAGACCAAAACCCTGAACCCTAAACTCCTGCTTGCCGGGCAGGTCGCCTTGGCATAAAAGTAAGGGCCCTATGGACACTTATACTATGAAGCCCTTTCTGGTAAAGGAACCTGAAGCCCTTTTAGGGTTCATACTTTTTCTTTAAGAGTTTAGTTGGGGTTCGGGGCAAGTTCAGGGGTCTCGGAGTGGCTGCCTGTCCGGTTGGAGGAGGTAGTACTCTTAGGGGCTGAGCAGGCAACCTTTAACCTTTTGGGCCTTATATAATCCTACTATAATCGAAAAGTTTAACCTTTTTTGGGCTAGGGTACTCAGCCCCTAAGTACTAGTACCCTAAACCCACAACCTGAACCC